TCCCATTGAAGTGGTACCTATTTATCTACTCACATTTGCATACTTCCAAATTGCTAGGTTGGCAGATGCAGGGGCAAATGATGAGAGCTCAACCTGTCACACAACACTCGGGTCTCAAGTCTGGGCTGCCAGTTTTCCAACTGACAAGCCCAGCATCTTCAACTGCCAAGCCATCATGCCCCCTTAACTGGAGAATAAGCAGCTCTAAATTCAAACTGTCTTGCATGAAGATCTCTCTTCACCACTGTCAAGGACCTTGTCTTTACAAGTTCTACTTTGAAAGAAAAGTAGCAATACTGTCCTTCGTTAAGAATACTTTACAAGTCATAACTGATATTACCCAGTAAATAGCTATAGTTAAGACTTAAAATTAGATTCTGGACTTGTACAAAACCTTTCCAATTTGAACAATTTCTATTTCAAAATGCTCTATTTTGAGTTGAAAACAGCAGCTTTCAGCTTCAATCATTTGTTTTGCATTTAAAAGAGGTTATTTGGGTAATTTTGAGGCATTTCAAGCTTGAGACTGGTGTTTCCCAGTTTTGGAAAACTTTCAAGTCCACACCATCTCAATTGAAATTCAAAGTTGTTGTTTCTGGTTTCAAATACTACTAAGTGCTATATCTTATTCTTGTCCTGTTTCAAGTAGACTCAAAGTGTCAACAGAAATTGTGTCAAAAGGGCGTTTCTCTACATGTATTTCCTTTAAAGATAGAAAATGTTGCAAATTGAGCCTCTCTGTCCTGATTTCATTTCATTTAAATTCTGCCTCCATGTTTAGAGTATCATAATTGAACAGCTGTTAATTGACATCTGTCCATAGGTTAAAGCCATTATACTGTATTGTATGTCCAGGTAGCCACCCATTGAGATATGTTATATAAAGCATATTTTAATTGCTGTTTGGATGAATGAGCAAATGTTTATTCTTTAAGGTTTTGTTCAAGGATTTGTACATACCTCAGACACAAGGAGGAAAAACTATCAGTAATAATTATGTCTCCAAAAGGTTTCTTCCATAATTTGCTTCTTTTCAGTGTATGCAATAGAACACCATTGTCTCTCCTGAAATTATTTTTTCCAACTTGTCCTCTCCAATTTTGCAACTGACATCTAATAACTTTTACAAATTATGCTTGCTTCCATGCTATTTAAATAAAAGGAATTGTTTATTTCAATTTAAGGCAATCCAATAGAAACCATATTACATCAAACATTCAACATAGAATATTGTAGCATAAAAGAGATAAAAGTCATCGCCATGCAAATAAAAAGAGCTATGAATGGAAAAAGAAAATGAGATAGATGAAAACATGCTGGGTGACTGTAAGAAAGTTAGGTAAGTAGATGATGTTTTGATCTGGGCAATAGACTGTTGTGTTCAACAGCCTTACTTCATGTCTTCAAAAGATTGCCTAAAAAAAAGAAGTCATTGTTTCTATTACAACTATTCCATTACACAGCCCCATAGAGCTATTCTATGGGGCTGAGATTCGGCAGTTTTGCCCACCTAAAAAGCTGACTTTTATGTCAGATATCTTTCTCTCGCAAGCATTGCATCTTTTACTCAATGGAGCACCAGTTTGCATGATGTAGGTTTTCTTGTTCTTCCACTCACACAAGTGAGGGCAAGACTGTTCTGACATGCTTCACCATGCTTTTACAAAGATGCAGTACAGAGAACTGCAGAGTAAATAATATCCACCAGTTGCATTTTTACTGATGTCAGCAATGCACAGATAGAAGACGGGGTACTACCAGCATGCACAGACATTCTGCTCATTCAGTATTTGGGCCACAATATTTCCCACTGTCTCCTTTGGAAGCTTTTCATTCAGAAAAAGGACAGGGAGGGTGAGAGAAATGTCTGTATAGTGCTAAGACAAAGGAATTCATTTCTTTTGAGGGTTGGAAGACCATATAGCTGTGCAAGTTACAGTTTGGGGATATAATTCACAGCCAAAAGCAAAGTGAAAAACAGAACTCATTCATTGTAAATAGTTCAGGATTTCTCCCTGAGTTTATGTCATTCAGCATATGGGCTGGGTAGCTTTACTTAATAATTCCAGCCTCAGTCCAACAATTTATAGCTGAAGTTAATTTCACCAACTAGTTGGGGGTCAAAAGAGGATCTGGACTGAGCAGACTGTCAGTCATTATCAGCTGCCTAAATCCAGCTATTTTCAGTAAGCACCAAAAGAACCTTACTATTGAATTCTGGATTTTTTTAAAAAAAAATGTTGATTAGTTTATGGGTAAAACAATCGCTAGCACAGAACGGATTTTATAAAGATAAGTGGCAAAGTAAAACCACTTAAACAGCCATAAACGGGATCCAATATAAGAAAGGTATAAGGTATAAGAATGGTAAGAAAGGGCACTGCATGTCTTTTCTCCTAGTTCTGTATCACATCTCTGTTGGTGCAATAATGGAATCAATAAAGGCATCTTTGATCCACATATAGGGTTTTCTTCTTTCTTTCCAGTCCCTGGGTTAACCTGCCTTGTTCCAATTTACTTGATTTTTATATTAATGGGAAATTACCTGAAAGACATCATGTCTAGTAATAATTAGTACACTGGGCTTCTACAGAATATCCTGTTATTATTTATAGTGGAACTTATCTTATTTTAAATAGAGGAACTTCTGGACCACAACTGTCATGGACCAATTGGTTCATATGTTCTCACATGTTGTTAAGCATGCAAACTCCTTTGTCCCTCACATTTGTGGAGCTCCCACAATTCTTTCTGTGGCCCTCAGGAACCTGTAGAGCAAGAGGGCCCAAATCCTTGAATTTTCATTTACATTGGGCACAAACTTTGATATTTATAGCACCCAAGGCCTTATACCTTATATTCCCTGAATCTTCTCCCAAAATAGGTCCTAGATCCACTCATTTTGGAGGTATGTGCTGTGCAGAGACCAACATGGCTGATGGGCTAAGTGAAGATGCACACCCTTGCTGTACAAATTGGAGGAACTGAATGATGTTCCAGTATATAGAGTCTGAGAATCCCTAAGATGTTAACAGTACCTTTTGTTAAATTTTGATTAACCCTGAACAAATTAATTGTAGGACAAGAAAGTGCCTTGCAACTTGTATCACCTTTTTTTTTTTACCCACTCTAAAGGCGACAGCTGGGCATAATTGCTCATCTACTGCTTAATACCTCTTTCACTCTCCCTGCAATTGAGCAAAATACCAGCCAGTTGCAATGCAAATCTTATTAACAGATCAGAAAGATTCAAAGAGCGAGTTCTATGAAGTGAACCTTCTTTGAACTTCTACAAAGCAGTGAGTTAAAAGGGATGGTGGTGGAATATTTGAGATGCTCCAAATAATTAAGCAAAGTAGTACATCCTTTGCAAAATGAGAATCAACATTTGGAAAGTTGACGCTTCAGTGTAATTTTTTTAAAATTGGCCTATATAATCAATATATTCAAATTCTCAGAAACTTCAATTCTTGCACTTAACCCCGAGAAGGAACATCCCCTAATCTTTGATTTCATTTCTGATCTCTGCCATTCTCCTTCCTACCTTCTGGGAACAATGTAGGTACCATCATTGGAGAGGGAACTGTTCCCTAGCTAGCTCCGCTATGGAAAGCAAACACCAACTACCATAATATAGTATAATTGGATAATAGTAGCAATGCAAAAATTGGGTCTGGGGAGCTGGAAGGAATCTTAAGACAGGCAGTTATGAGTATGAGGAAGTTCACCTGTTGCCACTAGGGACATTATTCATGAGCAAAATCCAAATAGGCTCTGCATCTAGTCTTAGTGAAAGGATTGGAATATCTGCCTGGCTAAGCATAATGGGGCTCAGGGGATCTCCATCACTGCAGGTTTTCAAGCAAAGAGTGTACAGTCATTTATCAGGGATGGTGAGAGGATTTTTGCCCTAAGGCAAGTGGTTAAAGATCTCCATGATCCCTTCAAGCTCTAAATTTTTTACTTTCCTTCAAAAAAGAATGAACTGCTGAAAAATAGCTGGGACTCTCTACTGGATTGTATTTGCAAATGGTGAAATTTGGACAGTTTCATGTTTTCATGTAGCAGCTCTACATTTGTTCTGAATGAGTAGACTGTTTTTAATGTTTGATATTGCTAACCTGATAGGCAAAACTGCAATAAGGTATTTAAATAAATCAGGTTCAGTTTTAATTTTCTTCTCTGATGTTCCAAATACATCATTAATGCCTCACACTGAAATGTCAGATATCAAAGTCAAGAGAGAAATTGGTTTCCAAGTAGATACCGGAAACTGCAGCTTTAGAAAAATTAAAAAAGGGACTTAAGGGAGGCATTAAGACATACTAATAAACAATCCAAGCCTGCACAAATATTGCCAAAGCAGATTTACAAACAATAAAGGGAATTGGGCAAGCTAGGGATGGGGTTCAGTACAAGAAATAGTAGCAGCACCAACATGACATCAAACAGATACTCATCACAATATTTAGCCTGCCAAGTCAATCCAGAAGTTGAGCTGTTACAAAGGAAAGACAGAAGGCCTAATGTGGCAGGCAGATGATACACAGGCTATAAAAAATTCCAATAATTCAAAACTTTTTGAAGCTGGAAGGAGGAGGGGAAAGGGATGCTTGGAAGATTTATGGAAATCCATCACACATACCATAAGCAAAATGAATCATGTAACTTCCTGAAGACATACTAGACTTCATCTTGGTTACTTTGCTGAAAAGAAATGAGGATGCTTACCTGTGATTGAGTGTGTCCTTTTAAAAAAATACCCCCTCCCATTTTTGCTGTTTACCAAATGGAAATGTCTATGAATTAAACAGATCGCTGTGCCAACATTTCAGCATAAACAGTTCTCAATATGAACTTTTTCGAAAGAGAACACATTGTGGATTTTCTCACTCTGGCGTAGATACTGCTTGGATCTCTGGCCCCAGAAAACAGATAAGCAGACCCTGAAGAGTGACTGGGTGTTTCGATGCCCCTCTCTCTTTAAAATTGCTCTTCCGATCTTCAGATTTCGGTCTGAAGGGTGTGGCTTGAGGGAAAGTAAGGAGGTGGAGCTGGATTAGGTTTGATGCCACGCCCCTTCATGTAGGAGATGAACTGGTCTGGAATCTCAGCCAGCACGTCCTTAGCCAGCCGTGCCATACTCAAGACGTGGTTGCCAGTGCGGTCAATGTAATCGCGGAATGGTACAAACTGAGAGAGAGATATCAACATATAGATATATATTTAAATATTATAATCATTTATTTTTCAATTTAGACAGCATCACAATGTAATGTAAAAGATAACCATGTATTTAAATACCCCAGCTACTTATTGTGCTCAAACTTCCCGGCTGAAATACTAAAACAGAGACAGAAATTTGTTAAGAGAATTCACTAATCTTAGATAAATTAAAATTAAGTGGCCAGGCTATGCTACTAAGGCCAACATAATGGCCAAGGCCTTACTGTCCCCATAATTATTAAACAATCTTTAAAATACTAGTCTGGGAAAGAACATCTTAGGGGGCTAGTCAGGAATGGGGAGTTATTTATACTAGTTTGATTAGGGTATTTTTGTTGCTAGCCATGTCCATAATAATTCCTAAGTGAGCATCCCCCATGTCATGCTTGCAAATTCAAAATTTGCTACAGTCCCAAAAGGCTATCTAACTCTGTTTAATTCTTCTTTGAGTGTTAATAAAAATTAGGAGTACAAGGACTGTTTTATACCGCAACAAATCTTTGTCTATCAACTCTCTACTGTTCCATGTCGACAACTTTTACATCATGTATTAAACTTGGTGATTTCTCTATGTAAACACATGCTTTCCCAATGAGCCTTTATTCTGAAAGTTGTTTCCTTTCCATAGTGGTCCCAAACCAGAATGTTTCCATGTCCATCAGACTAAGTAGGCTAGAGAAACGATAACAATTTACTCAGTGCTTGACACATTTTGTTCAGGGATCTTGCAAGGTGGCTATTGCTGCTCACACACAACCTGAGATTTGAATATTCTAAAAATTTTAAGAAAAAAGTCTCACTGATAAATGACCTGGCTTTCAAGGTTGGAGATTTATCTTTGCAGCAAGCCTTACAATTCCATATTGGCTAGTGAATGTGCATTATAAAGCTTTATTGTTCTCTTCTAAATACCTGGACAATGTCACGTTCAGCAGTCCTTCCACGAGATGTGATCCGAACATCATCTCCATCCAATTCCACCATTGCTGTCCATTGGAGGAAGTGGAAATGAATGTTTATCAAACATTAAATATCCAATGAAGAGCCAAAAGTTCCAAAATTTTGCTTGTGCCACAGACAACTGATTGATTAATGGCTGGAGGGGAAAAACTTATTAAAAATTGCCACTGCTACAGGCATCTGTAGAAACGTACCACAAACAACTGATTGATTGATGGCTGGAGGGGAAAAACTTATTAAAAATAGCATTACTCTTTTTTCCAGAGTTGAACTGGAATCATATACTGAATATTCTCTTTGCATGTTGCAACTTGCTTTCTTAATGAACCAGTCGATGTGAGGTCCCATTCTTCTCCACAAAGTATAATTAAGTCATTACACTTTACCTGTTGAATTGCTGGCCTGAATTATTCACTTTTTCAGCAAATAAGGATAGTTCTTTCACAGAAGATTATCAATAGGAGGCTTAAAAGTTGTTAATTGGAAGCTCAAGCAAATACATGACAGATTTTAACAGCTGCTCTGCAGAGCTTTAAATGTTGTATATACTTTATTTGACAAATCATATTTCACTAAAAGAAGCTAGGATGTCTGTTCAAATCTTTAATCACAGAAATGTATATCTGCTAATTGCTCTAATTTCTTTATATATTTTTATTTTTAATATTCATAGCCAAAGTATTTGGGTGACAAGAATTTAAGACATATGTTGCACATTACACACACCATAGAGGTAATATATTTTTACATCCCAAAAGATCTTCCAAAAGATCAGATCATGGAATAAACTGCTTAAAGAGATGGCAATATAATCCATTGCTCTAATCTATGTATTAGTTTATTTAGTAAGGTTTGTCCTAATACATTATTGTGTTTTTATTACACCTTTTCTCTGGGAGCTAAAGATTATACATGGGGAACTCTTCTAGATAGATTCCCCCAGTAATAGTCCCATAAAATAGTTAGAAAGAAAGAAAGAAATTGGTCTAAAGACATTCAATGACATTCTATGCTCACATGAAGATATGAAGTTTAGTCAAGTCTAATGTTGTATGAAACCAATTTCTGTCTTGCTGCGTTTATGGGCACTGCAATGCTGATTGCCACTGCTACAGGCATCTGCAGAAAGTCATGATGTCATCGTGTATGCCACAAGGGCATCACCGTAAGTGATGGAAAAGACACAACTTGTTCATTTGTGTAATGATATCATGATGCACCTGACGTCTCCTCCTCCCTAAGGAATACCCATGGTTTAAGTGCAGAACTGAATTTATATTAGACTAGTATAGCTCTATTAGCTCTCAACAGAAATACACACACACACACACACACACACACACACATCATATTTCACATCTGGAGAAAAGGTAACACAACATAAATTCTTACCATCAAATTCAGCCTGTCCAACACCCACAATTATTATAGACATTGGAAGTTTGGCAGCCTGAGGACCAGCAGGAAACAAGTAAGAATAGAGGAGGACGTGCAAAATGGAGATGGGAAGAAGAAACAAAGAAAGAGCCTGGATTTACAACACAGATCTGTAAAATAATACGGAGAAACAAATCCAGAAGCTCATTCCCTCCCTTCATGCAGACAGTCAACTTGCTGGCTGTACTCAATTCATCATAATGTCTTCACATTATGGCTCCACAGCCCTCTTTGTATGTAGGGCTGAATTTATTTATTTATATATGTGTTTATTAAATTTACACGCCATTCATCTCACTATATGCAATTCATCTGGGTGGCTTACAGCATGATAAAAAGATAGTACAAAATGACTAAAAGTGAAGAAAAAATTAAATAAAGACTAAAAATCAAGAGGCAGAAGTCATTGCAAGAATACAAAAAAAAAAAAAAAAAAAATCATAGTGGTACTATGTGTTTCCCAGTTTGCCCGAGCTTGTCCTTAACATGCTGTCCTGTTATCGAATTATCTAACTTCTTTCTCTTCCCCTTCAGCAACCAGTGACTGTTTTTGCTATTAAATGCAGAAGTGGCAATATAATCAGTGCTCTTTGCTATGACAAATCTCTGGCAATGTTGAACAATGGACTGCAGCAACAATTTAATCAGGAGCACACTCATCACTCATCACCACTGGAATCAAAAGCAGAGCACACGGCAGTGCCCTTAATGGCTGGAAACAGAGTGGTGGGGGAGGGGGAGATTGCGCACAGAAGCAAATGCTTGCATAACAAGAAGCTTTGTTTATTCATACAGTCCAGCTGATCTTCAAATCCCCTCTGGGAAACCTGAACACAAGGTTCATTGGGGCCATGGGAAGAGTAGCTTCGGGCAAATGATTTTTCTTCTTCCTCCCCATTATTTGTGGGGAAAGCCTATAGTGACCTCTTTCATTTTCTCTCACAGCATACTGAGGGCCACATTCTAAGCGTGGGCAGCAGAGGTGCTATTCAGCAGGTTCTGACCAGTTCTGGATAACCGGTAGCGGGAATTTTGAGTAGTTTGGAGAACTGGCAAATCCCACCTCTGACTGGCCCCGCCCCCATCTATTCTCTCCCAGCTGATTGGCTGGGTCTTCTTTTGTTGCCCTGCACAGATCTGGAAAGCAGGTTAGTGGGGTGGGGAAGGAATGGGATTTTGCAGAAACCTTCCCCCAGGAGTGTGGAGGGAATGGGGATTTTACAGTATCCTTCCGCTGCCACACCCACCAAGCCATTCCCACCAAGCCATGCCATGCCCACCAAGCCACACCCACAGTACCGGTAGTAAAAACAATTAATCCCACCACTGGTGGGCAGGGCCAGGATACATTTGGGGGTGAGGTGGTTTGAAAAGAGTGCTTTAAACTTTTGCTTACACTCCCCACTTGGCAGAGCCTCCTAAAACTGATCCAAACCCCAACCAAAATTAAAAAGAGGGGTTGTGAGTTTAACCCTTCTCCATGATGCAGTCCCCAGAAGGAATACTAGCAAGCCTTTGCTTTTTCTCTCGCTCTGCGATTTGAGGCTGACTGCTGTTTATCTGCTTTGGCACCCCAATGGATTAGATGAGGCTAAATATTTGGTAGAATGAAGCATGGGGGATGTGTGGGCTTCCAGCCTTGGTTGAACAGCAGCCACACTAGCACAGCCACAGAGGTAGATGTTGTAGCTGAGCATTATCTGAAGGGATACAGATTCCCCCTTCCTGGTGAAAGGATTACCAAGACAATCCTGTAATGCACGGTGCACTTTATGGTACGATGAACACATTAGTTAGAAGCTAATGCACTGAGTATGGACTTAGCTTGATGTCCATCCATTTTGGCTTGTAAACCATGGCTTCTTTCTTCTGGGCTGGCATTATGTACGAAGGAGGCATATGAATTCTAAGTAGTGGCCTCAAAAGGATCTTGTTGCTTTTGTTAGAATAAGGAAAGAAACAAGCTTGATCTCTTTGGGGCATGTGTGCAACGTGACATCACAACACATGTACGAAAGGGGAAAGGCTAGTTTTATGATACCAGGATGATGTTTTAGTCAGAGTGACTCACTTTCCTCCTTCCTGTGGAAGCCACTGATTCTAAATCTGATTGTAAATGCTGTATTAATATAATAATAGGATGGAACCAAAAACCAGTTGCCTGGAGAAAGGAATATAAACACAAAATCACAAAATTGGAAAGGGCCGTTTAGTACACTTGTTCAGTACAGGAATTCCAATGAAAGCATTCCCAACAAATGTCTTTCCTGCCTCTGCACTTCCCCAGGGTTTCCCATATTTAGCAAAATATTATTCCAATTAGGGAAGTCTTTGAATTCAATAGATTTACAATAGGGAAAACATGAATGTCCTGTGGCTGCAAGATTATACCTCTTACTGTGTCTAGCAGTAAATTCCAGGCGCTCGGCTTACTAATATGCTATGCTACTGAATTGAAGCCATTTTCCCCACATGGCACTTATAAGAACATGTCTGTTATTTGATAAAGCTGAAATCAGGCTGCTCCATTCCCCAGGTGAGCTACTCACATTGACAATTGCTTCTTTTGTCTGAGCCATGTCTGATATCACACCATCCGTGATGATGAGTAAAACGAAATACTGGGAGCCATCTTGCACAGCCGAGGCATATCTGATTTGGAAGGAAATAATATTGAATGCAGGAAGATATAGGTTCCTAGTGGACCCCTGAATCCTGAACTGAACACAAACGGTGCAATTAACTGTATCAAATTGTAATCTTACAAGCATTAGTAGAAATAATTTGTTTCTCAAAAAAGTGTCCATTGCACATTTTCCTGTAACTGTACAAGTCAGGAAGGTCTGTAGGATTCTGGGTATTATGAAAGAGATTTGCTTATGTTAAGTGTGATGGGTAGTGCATATTCACTGGATGTTCATGATAGTTGAAGTTGAGGGATGGGCTTGAGGCATATTAAGATGGATATAGGGAAGGGAATGTTGGGAAGTAGATGTGATAGTATGTGAAATGTTCTGTGATGCGGAGCACCTGGAAATAGTCAGATTGCAAGTGCCTTTGTGTGGAATTATGTAGCAAAGACAAGTCTGGGCTGCTGACATATACAAACCATCTAAACACCAACCCTCTATTCATTCCTGGATGTTGTCTTGGGATTGGTGTTGGAATTCCACAGATTTCGTGGGTGATTTCAATCCTACATGCCTTAGGGGGACAGTCCATCTAGCTTGTGTGTACCAAGATAATTATGGGCTTGTCACATGAAAATGGGGGCACAACAGGTATGGGTGGACATGTTTGACTTGGTCTTTGTTTAGGAGCAGATAAGATGTCATCTGAAAAGGAAGGACAATGATACTTGCCCTGATCACAGTCAATTTTCTTGCCTATCAGACTGCATATCATGACATTGTGGACCATCACACGCCCCAATTGATTTTTTGAATGCAGACTGATTTCCAATAAATGTATATGTGCATCTGTGACCACCTCCAATTCAGAGTTGCTCTCCTTTTTTGTGAATATGAATATGGGATATCTTCTGTCACTTGCCTATGTTCCCTTCTAATCTTAATAAATACAACATGCAAATCCACTGAAATTGTCTGTTTATGTGGTTTCTGGCTTGTAAAACCAAATGGTATGAATTTGTGTGCCTGCTTTATGGCAAGAAGCTTTCAATATCATGCTTTATAAAGTACTTTATACTTGTATGGACCTACCCAGCCACATGGTTGACCACTGGTGCAAAGTTAGTTGGGCCATAGAGCTGCACAGTCTTGAGGCTCTGGTGATATGCTTCAAGGATTCCTTCTATTCCACTACAGTGAGGATTGTCACAGTTGCCATTCTGAAAACAGAGAAATGGAGACACAGCTAAAGGCAATCTCCAGGCAGAGGCTGCATCTTAACCATCTTTCTTTGGCTGCTTTAATCCTTCCACCTGCCTTTCATCTAATAATATGCCAGAACAAAGATAAAAATGCTAGCAGCAGGACGGTTACCTATGAATAAGTTTTCTTTAAAGACTCAGTTATAAAATGTATGTTAAGACAGTTGAGCAGCTTGGCTTCCTTCTTAAAAGAAAGAGCATGTGACTGCTTCAGATCAGGATTTTATTGAGACAGATTAGGAGCTTTATCTTTATGGCTCTCTACTGCAGCTTTGATCTATTACTGGGTGTGTTTCTTGCAATAGTATCTTATCTCTCTGTTAGATCACACCACATGCATGCATTTTTGCACATGGAATATGAAAAGACAGAACTACTTCTAGCTAATGTATTTCCCCCCAAATAAGATCAGGTCTTATATTATTATGCAACAACAACAACAACAATAATAATAATAATGCATTAGGGCTTATTTTCCAGTTAGATCTTATTTTGGAGGAAATATGGTATTAAATACGTCCATCTGGCTGATGATTTTAACTGGGGCTTATTTTTTGGAGTAGGGGTTATATTATGAGCATCCTGAAAAATCATGCTAGGGCTTATTTTCTGGTTAGGTCTTATTTTTGGGGAAACACAGTATGTCTAAGTAATGCATGCATCCTTAGATTTATCTTGAAGGACTCCATCCCTGTTAGAAGCAAAGATTAAGCAGATGCAACTGAAGCTCACTCTCTGGGGTTTAAAGGAATAGCAACAGTAGTGAAGACATTTTTCTTGGGTTGAGGTTTCATCCTGATTTTACAGATACATCAACATTTAAAAAGGATAATGTTGCTTCTTTTGTTATTATTATAACCCTCAAGGCTTTAACTCAGGAGTGGGCAATCTCTGACCTCCAGATGCTGCTGAATTATAGCTGGGCCTGCTAAAAGATGTAGTGGGGAAGACCTGGAGGCCCACAGGCTTTTTTGTAAGTAAATTCCAAGCTCCTTGAAAAGTCAGGCTATGACCAAGGAAAACAAGACTGCCCAGTGCCAGCCATCCTATTCATTTTATCCAGGAGCAAGGAGAAATAAACCATGTAGAAAACAGGGCTTATTCCCTAGTCAGTGTGTTTGGGATTGAAATTTAAAAGATCCGTTGATTCTGCTGTCAATGAGGCAAAGTCTCTGCCAGCAGGATCATATGGCATTTTGTTCTCTCCAGAAAAGGCATCTCAGAATGTGACACACTGGACTCCTATGTCTGACACTTGATCTGATCTGAAATAAAGCGTCCCTCGGGAGCTGTTTTTGGAATGGTGGTGTGGCTCAAAGGGAAGTGTCAGTACCAAAGGGAACTCATGAGAGACACGCCCATCGGGGGGAATCTTGGCTCCAAACCCAAGCGCTGGGAACATTTTATCACTGTCATAGTCCTGGATGATCTCCCCAACAGCCTTCAGTGCCATGGCATATGCATTGAGCTGGTATGGATTCATGTAATGAAGGGAGGTAGACTGAGAAGGATTGCCTGCAGAAAATGAGAGAGAGAGAGAGAAAGAGGAAGAATCCAAAGGAGGAAGAAGAAGAAGGAATAGCAGTGAATTCATTGACTTGGGAGCCAGCTGCATTGATGAAGTTTGCTTAAGGTCAACAAAAAACCTTATCTGGAATGCTGTAATTGGGAACCTCTCCCCGAGGAGCTTCACCTGATGATATTACATTATCTTTCAGAGCTGGCAATCATGGCATTTTCATCCTCTCAAGCACTTTAGTGGTTGGTATTTTAAGTACTGAAAGGATGTTATATTCTAAATCCAGAAGCTGGAATTTGCACTGCTGTTTGAATTAGTATTGAATCTGTTATTCAGTTGTATTGCTGTACTATGCCTGCCCTTCCGATTTCAACATTATGCAGGGCCAAATGCTCTAAACAATTAAAACACATCAGGCCAATTATACACACCTTACATACTTGAATTGTCATACACTGTCTACAGGAATCTGCCATTATTTTCAGAGTTGCCTTAGGACACCACCAAGTAAAATCTAAACAGAGCAGTCAATCATTTTTATATTGATAATTTTCTATGGCAAGGGAAAAAAAGACAGTAGATTCACAGGAAGATATTTATAAGACCTAGAAGTTAGAAGAGGTAAAAACTGTCATTGCTGTACAGGTAGTCCTTAACCTTACAACAGTTCATTTAGTCAATTTTCAAAGTTACATCACTGAAAAAAGTGACTGATGACCGTTTTTCACACAACTGTTGTAGCATCTCCTTGGTCACTAGATCAAAATTCAGACAGTTAGTAACTGGCTCATATTTATGACGGTTGTAGTGTCCTGGGGTCATGTGATCCCCTTCTGCAACCTTTGACAAAGTCAGTGGAGAAGCCAGATTCATTTAACAACCGTAGTACTAACTTAACAACCGAAATGATTCACTCAACAACTGTGACAAGAAAGGTCATAAAATGGGGCAAAGCCCACTTAACAAACGTCTCACTCAGCAACATAAATTTTGTGCTCCATTATAGTCGTAAGTCAAGGACTGCCTGTATCTGGACATCTAATGAAATTTCATGAAAGAGACAGCAGGTGGCATAATAAGTCTTATCTTGCTATATCGAAATATTCTTGGATCTGCTTAAGAATTCAGCGATCTTATCTACAAGTACAAGCAGACGTGCGTTGTGTGCATGTACAAAAGAGAGCATTGGCTTCTTTATGCAGCTAAAATAAGGAAAGTTCTTAGCAATGATTTTCCAAGGCACACAGGCTCACCTTTTACATTCATATATGTGCATCACCAGTCTTGCTCACCTAGTTTTGTCCCTGAACCCAGTTCATAAAAATCAGTACCACAAGAGACCACATTCATGTCTAAAGTGAACTGAGTCTGATTTTTAAAGCAAAAAGTGATGAGAGAAGCTGATTTTGCCTTTTTCTTTATTATCTCACCACACTTTTCAAGGGTTCCTAGCCGAAGCTTGCTTCCAGCATGAAATATTTTGCTTTCTCATTTGACACTTAATTTGGTGCCTTTACAGGGCAGGCAAAGCAATCTGACCTTATGTTACTCAGAAACTCAGAATTAAAGAAGAACCATCGTCAGAAGCTTCCATGGGTTTAGAAGAGATATGCAAGATTGGATCACTCCCCTGAGAGGAGAGGGATAAGGTCAATATATTCTATAACCTCTTAGATAGCTTTTCTGAGGTCACCTTAGGTTATGATCTAATGAATGGTAGCTTCCTGGGGAAAGCCACCATTTAACATAATAGGCACTTTTATGCAATATGCTTAGGGTTAAGATTTAATGACTTTAATAAAAGTATAATGATCCAATTTTATTTTTAAACACTAGTAAATTGTATAAGCAAATAACACATTAAATGGATAGCACACTAACAACAATGAATAAATCAAAGCTTACCATTGGAAGCTGTGAAATCAATGGCCACTGTGAAATTGATCTGTGTCCTGGAGGAAAAAAAAACACACAATATCATCATTTAGGCTGTAATTGTACAATCTATAATTGTAAATTATTTAGCCTTTGAGAAAAATGAAGTCCAGAGTTGTTGGAAACTATGTCCTCAACTTTCCTTCTAGTATTATCTTTATTCTAACAATTGTGTTTATAATAATTAATTAGAATGGTAAACTGAAAGACAAAAGGGACAAGCATAAGAAATGGACAAAGGGATGCATAACTAAAACAGAATACCAGCAAATAGCCCTGGTCTTCAAGGACGAAGTCAGGAAAATTAAAGCTCAGAATCAACTAAGACTTGAAACAAATCCCAAAACTAATAATAAAAATTTCTTTCAACAAGTAAAAAGACAAGAAAAAAGTCAAGGAAACAACTGGTCCACCAACGAGAGAAGATTGCAAGGAGATGAGGGAAAAAGCAGAACTGCTTAATTAAGTCTTTGTATCTGTTTTTACACAAAAGGAAAAAGGAAAAAACAGACCAACCTATCAAAAGCAGAATAGCAGAAGGCAGACAATGAATACAATTCCAAATAGACAAGAAAAAATGATAAAGAGAACAAGTGGCACGCAGAGCCATTTATGCAGGTACATGAGCCCCAGCCAAACTTACCTGCACTGCACATGCACGTGCTTCCCAACTGATTTTTGGCCCGTTTAAGGCCGTTTTTGTCCTCCTGGAGGCTCAAGGGAAGCCTCTGCAACCTCGTGAGGCAGAAAAATGGCCTTCTGGAAATATCAGAAGTGCCCATTTTCAGCCTCCGGAGGGCCTCTGGAGCTTGGGGGAAGCAGTTTTCACCCTCCTCGGGGGAAGCAGCTTTCACCCTCTGCAGCCTCAGAGGCTGAAAAATGGCTGAAAACCAGCTGGGAGGCGCATGTATGCACAATGCAGGTAAGTGGGCAGGGTGGGGGAATTGCGCACATATGCGCAAAGGGGGGCGGGGTGCATTACATAGTGGGTGCGTGTTTTTGGCACACCACAACAAAAAGGTTCGCCATCACTGACCTAGCCATTTTAACTGAATTAAAATCATCAGGTTTTCCAGAGGACTGGAAAAGAGCTAATGTGGTTCCAATCTTCAAAAGGGAAAAAATGGATCCAGGAAACTACAGACCAACCTGCCTGACATTGATACCTGGGAAAATCCTGGAAAAGGTAATCAAGCAATGGGTCTGTGAACACCTAGAAATGAGCAAAAATATTCAGTGGTGGGCTGCAAATTTTTTAACAACGGTTCTCTGGCTGGGTAGGCATGGCCAATTGGTCATGTGACTGGGTGGGTGATGTCACTCATCACACCCAGCCCCGCCTCCCAGCCACTCCTCAAAAGCAGAGATAGGATTCAGCCGGTTGGGGCAAATCCCACCACTGGCTGGCCCCGGCCCCGCCCCTACCCATTTTTTGGCCTATATTTTGGGCATTTTCAGGCTGTTTGGGGGCCTTTTTCAGGCCATTTTTGGGTCTGAGTCCCAGTTCTCTTCAACATATCCATAAATGATTTAGATAAGAGGATAAAAGGGGAATTCATCAAATTTGCAGAAAATACCAAGCTGGGAGGAATAGTCAACACTTTAGAACATAGACTCAAGATACAGAAGGATCTTGACAGACTGGAACTTCTCCAAGAAAATGCAAATCAGTGATGAGAAAAGTAAGACAAGAAAAACTAAATGTACAGGTGTAGAATAGGTGGTATCTGGCTCAACAGCAGTAACTTTAAGTGACCTAGTAGATGACTGCCATTTATGTATGAGTTAGCAATATACCACAACTGCCTTCAAACCAATGCAGTCCTAGGCTTCATCAACAGAGTCAGTGGTGGGATTCAATTTTTCACTGGTTTTGTGGGCATGGCTTGGTGGGCATGGCAGGGGAGAGATACTGTAAAATCTCCATTCAGAGGTGATATTTGCAGGCTCTCCAAACTACTTAAATTTTCCGGTACCGGTTCTCCAAAACCGGTCAGAACCTGCTGAATACAACCTCCGAACAGAAGGATAGTATCAAGAGCACGTGAAGTGATAGTTTCACTTTATACTGCACAAGTAAGATCACACTTGGAATGCTGCACCCAGGTCTGCTCACTGTGATACAAAAAAAGATGTAGAGGCTCTAGAAAGAATGCAGAAAAGAGCAATAAAGATGATTAAGGGTCTAGAGGCTATGCTATGAACAGTTCCAGGATCTAAATACAGTATGTCTAGGCTAGCAAAGAGAAGGACTATGGGTGACATGAGAGCAGTCTTTCAATATTTGAGGGAATATCACAGAGAAGAGGCGGTCGACCTCTTCTCCAAAGCATCTGAGGATATGGCAAGAAGTAGCAGAAGATCCCTCATCAAAGAAGATCCAACCTAGAATTAAGGAGAAATTTTCTGACAGTGAGAACAAACAATCAGTGGAATGTCTTGCCACAAGAAGTTGTGGGTGCTCCATCACCTGAGAGTTTCCAGAAGAGATTGGATAACCATTGTCTGGAATGGTATAGGATCTACTGCTTGAGCAGAAGATTGGACTAGACCTCTAAAGTCCCTTCCAACTTGGTTATTCTATAATTTATTCTATTCTCTGATTGTCTCAGAGTTTTGCCCCAAAGAGAAGAAAGAAGGGAGACTTTTTCAATGGTTGCCACATTCTGTGAAATAAGCAACCTCCTGAAGTGGGCTTGACCCTATCCTTCTGGTATTCAGGAAGACATTGAAAGACATCTCTAAAAGACACTCAGCGTCTATCTATCTATGTTGGGAGGCTTTCAGTTACATTTAAAATGATTTTATGATTATATAATAACGATATAATAATAACTCTTTGTCCCTCCATGGGCTCCTATGAATCAGCGCAATTCTCAGCTCCAGGAGGACAAGGAACAGGGGTTTAAAGCACAGTGTGCAAAAGTGCTATTAAAATGGATGATCGAAAAAAGCTGTCTGCAGACATTTCTCTGGCAGCCTTCTCAGATGAGATTCCCAATCTGTCATCTCCCACCCTCCACCGAAAGCAATTGCTCCCATGACAGGTCTTTCCTTCAAATGTCATACAAGCCTTCAATGAAAGAATGCAGCTGTCAGTCGGAGATAATATTTTTAAATGCCTGGTGGAAAGGCAGAGACCAGGTTAAAGGGAAAGGCTTCTTTGTTTTGCTGCTTGGGAAACACATCCAAATTAGATTTAGCACCGGTCAGGGATGTACTTTTAACTCTAGAAAAGAGCACTAAGATGTTAACTGTCTGTGGCTATTCAAAACTGAGATCCCCATAGTTCTACTTCTTCAACTGGTAGTGTTTGAATTTTACTAAAAGTCTTGTGGAAAGGCCTAAGGACACTCATTTCTGTTTATTTCCATATTACTCTCAGCCTGCAGTATGTGACAAATCCAATAACTAATAATAGAAATCTGTAAAATGTAAAATCAAAGTTATAAGAAGAAAAAACTCCTGCATACACAGCAAATTTGTCTCCAGGCCTTAAGCACTAGCCTTTCACACCCAGCTTACTGAGTTCAAAACAAACATCATCATAATGAATTATTGTTGGTAACACAGCCAAATGATTAGGCTGAATTTGGCATTTTTATCCATCTATTGAGTCCTTCAGAACGTGAGATAAGCAAATGTTGTTCGATGGTGTTAAATGTATCATTGCAAGATGTGAGCTGTTCCAAGTACAGTTGTCTTTCTGCAACTGACTGATGATGATTTTGTCAATGCTGATGATGTTTATGTTGTGCTCCAGTAATTTTGGGATTGCGTCCAGAAAGTTACCATTATTGGTACTATCTTTGCAATGACACTGGAACTGCTGGCCAGAAATGGTCTGCACTCTGGTGATTCGAACCCGGCTCTGTGAGATGGAGGGAATGCCTGTCGCTCGATCCCTAGCTTCTGCCCACACAGCAGTTCAGAAGCATGCAATATTACATATTACCCTACAAGTAGAAACCACTTTGGCGGGAAAAAGAAACCCTAGCTGTGGTTTTTTGTGTGTGGAGAATGGAAGCTGGCACTGGACCTGGCCAGATGCGAGACATCACAACATGAGGTGAGGTGAGGTGAGGTGAGACCGGTGGAGAAGCCCAGAAAAGCCAGCAACCTGAACACAGCTATTTAACTAGTATAAAGTAAACTGGTATAATCTTACAGTACACCAGGGACAGGCACACAAGCGCTGAACAGAACGAGCTAGCAATTTAGGCTGTCAGGACTGCATTATGTCTAGCATGTGTATATTTCCCTGACACTGTATGTCATGCACTAAATAAATGCTTTCTTTTGTCACAGTCGTTCTACTTGTATTTTCAGGACATGTATTCTGTGATATTCCCCCATAATTATTAAATTATGAATGACTGTTCAGGATAATCCTTGAACCAGAATAGTAAGAAATCATCAGACAAGCTTGGCTGAGGAGCTCCGCTGGGAAGTTCCCTTGACTTAAACCGAGAAAGAAAACAGATGGTCAAGGAAAGGAAGGAATAATTAGTAAGATGTTAAACTAAGTAGCTTTCTCCTGAGATGAGAGGACCTTAAGGAAAAAATTGGTCAATGGGAGGACTGAATGAGAGGAAACATGTTGAATTACTAACATGAAAAAGGTAACAGGATAATGAATTTCAAGAAAAAGAAGAATAAAGCATACTTACCAATATATTTCAGAGAATGTATGCTAGTTACCAAAAATTCAAGGTTTTCTTTAACGTTGAATAAATCTAAGAGATCTCTTTACCTTTACCTTACCAATCCACGTTGGTTGTTAAATGCTCTGAATGTGCTTGGGTTGATTTCTAGACTCTAGTACCTCTCAAAACCCACAAACTGAGCTCTGATGGATGCTTCAGTGGTTGGATATTTGCATGTGGAGAATGTGGGATTTTTATGGGCCAAGAATGGCTGGTAGATCCATCAGCTAAAACACTCTTGGCTGCAAACACAGAGCCACTGCCCAACATCTAAACAAAACCCAGCTCTCAGCAATTTATAGAAAACAACAACAACAAAGCAGTAGCAAAGGGTGGAGATACCCTTCAGACTTGGGAAGCTGTAAGGGTTGCAGAAATACATAAAACCTATGCACACACCACTTGAAAAATAGAAGATTGCAGAACAGCCCGATCAAGACTTCGCTTCCTAGTGATTATGAAATGATGACTGCTGTTACTTAGGGAAGGGAGCATTTTTAACATGAGGTCCCCACCATCCCCACCATCCTTCACATTGCCTAATCCAAATGGCATTACGATAAAATTATATATGGTTAGCATTTTTCTAAACTAAACTATCTATTTGTACAGGTAGTCCTTGATTTACAATAGTTCATTTAGTGACCTTTCAAAGTTACAGCGACATTGAAAAAAGTGACATGACCACACGACCGCTGTAGCATCTCCATAGTCACATGATCAAAATTCAGATGCTTGGCAACTGGCTGTGATATTTGCAGTGTCCTGGGGTCACGATTACTTTTGCAACCTTCTGACAAGCAAAGTCAACGGGGAATTCAGGGAATCCAGATTCACGTAACCATATCACTAACTTAATAAATGCAATTATTCACTTAACAACCGTGGCAAGAAAAGCTGTAAAATGAGGCTTAACCAATGTTTCACTTAGCAACATACATTCTGGGCACAACTGTGGTTGTAACTCAAGGATTACCTACACTTCTAAGTGTGACTAAATAAGTTCAGTGATCCTTCAGGCAGAGCACATCTCCAAATTTTGCAAAACCAAAATGTGCACCCTGGGGAAGGCCATCTATGAAATGCATTTGTTAGGAAAAGTTGCAGTTTATAAATGGATGGGAAAACTGATGCCTGAGAAAACTGAACAAAAGAGACATTTGATTAACTATATGAAAAAATGATGTGGACTGAATATAAAGAGATTTTTTTTGCGAGAACTGGCTGTGATGACTCAGTATTTGGCAGGTAGAAGGGATTCTGCCTGAGACAAAAGTATATCAGCAAAACAAAATCTCTCCAAGGTGTTTGAGTTTCTTTCTTCGCAATGACTTCGGACTTTTAGAGGTTTTTCTTCATTTTTTTTTCTGTTGCAGCTTGCAAGAAATAGGACATAATAAAGCTATATTATGTAAGACGAACACAGAAAAATGGTAATAACTAAGCCTCTCCTAATTTACCTTATTCCTTTTTTTTTTAACCCAGCTTCAGTCTTTTATTAGCTTAGGCTTTAAGATTCTTGCCCAAATGCTTGTTTTATCTAAGGTAAGTTGTTATTCTTAGGTCTAATAAATCAGGCACTGGACCACGAGTTCTGTATTACACCCTCTTACACTGTCCCAAATATAAAGAGATTCTCTTTTGTGTGTGCATATTTTGACATTAATTTTATATCTTGAAGCCCAGTAACTTCAGACTAAGAACCCCTTTTAGCAGGCATTCTCTATGCATGACAAAAATTAGACCCAACCCCGTGTATTTTCAGGAGCTTTTTTTATGTTCTTGTGTAACAGTTCCACTTTCTAAAACATAATTTGCTCACCACAGTTGGGCATGGATTTCAGATCTTCTGTACCCAACAATTTTCTTTCCAGTGTTCATTTGAATAATTTATCAGTAATTCAACGTCGGATGGTGCAAATAAGCAAAGTTTCCAATCAGGAGGCAGAGACATTTGTTCCACTGACATAATCAGGGGAATCTTATCTCTATCTCTTTCCATTTTATTATCATAAAATCCCATGCTCTAAGCTTTTTGAAAAGAGGGTGGACAAAATGTGATAACAAATACGGCATTATAGAGATGTATCTGATACATGAGCTTTTTCAGATGTTTAATTGTATGAATGGCAGGCATATGTGAAGTTTTAAATCCCAAATAGCTCAATGGGTGCTCTTCTGTGGCATTTCGGAGTTGTTTATTTGGCAAGAAAATAGCAAATAACTAGTCATGTCAGAGAACCGCAGCATCTTTCTTGATCGGTTCTAGTCACTCTGATACAAGCTAAACTTCATATTGAAACAAAAAGGAAAATATTTCCCAGAAAGTGTAACATTCCATCAGTAGTCCTTGACTTATAACCATAATGGAACCTAACCCAATTTTACGACTTTTTTAATGGCAGTCTTTAAGTGAATTACCATGGTCTTTAAGTAAATCTGTGGTCATTAACTGAACAACATGGTTGTTAAGTAAATTCATTGTTCACTAGGGAGCGCTTGCTAAAAACCATTAAAAAAATGCTGTTTTTTGGCAAAAATGTTGTAAATTGTGGTCACAGGATTGTGGGATGCTGCAAATGGCCATAAATGCTGGCTGGTTGCTGAACAACCGAAATGTCATCACTTGACCACAGGGGGCACAGCCCCCAGAACTTTGGAATCAATTTGTGAGAATCAATTTGGGGGGGGGGGAGGGGAAATCTGTTGTAACTTTAAAAAGTCCCTAGGCAACCCAAAGTAAGTCAAGGACTGCTATTTGGTCATTCTCAAGGTAGAAGAAGTCCAATTACTACCACTAGCTAAATTCAAACATTTGTGTTTAGTCCTTAACATTATGCCACCAGCCCAGTGCTTCATGGTATTGGTTAAATCTTTATCATCCATCTCTAATCCTACAACATAGTTTTACAATGAAATCAGAGGTGGTATTCAGCAGGTTCTGACCAGTTCTGGAAAACCAGTAGCGGAAATTTTGAGTAGTTCGGAGAACTGGCAAATCCCACCTCTGACTGGAGATTTTACAGTATCCTTTGCCCTGCCAGGCCCACCAAGCCACGCCCTCAGAACCGGTAGTAAAGTTTTTTGAATCCCACCACTGAATGAAATGCAAGAATCATCTATTGCATTCCCATGTCATATCAAGTCAGGATACTAAACCATTACTGGAACAAGAGTCATGTTGGTTCAACAGCAGGATCCCTTCTATTTGCTTCTTCTCTTTGGAGAAATAAAGGAAGCAAAGAGAGCTTTATATGGGAGCCATCTTTTGATCTTGGGACCACACTTGCAGTGATGCCAATGATGTGATCAGAGGGACCGGGGATAAAAAAATCTTGGCTTGTTTTCTTTTTTTGTGTGTGCGTGGATTGGATTGGAAATGGGAGCATTTCACAAAACTACAACTTTATCCTTGCTTTTCCATCTCTATTTCTGTTTTTGCAGCTGAAAATCTTTGGCCATTTTGATGCCATCTTTTGGCAGCATGATTTGGATCTGTCGTCTGAGGATTTTGGAAAATTTTAACAGGACATGATTTGCTTCATGGAAACTTGGGAAACATGCCCACTGCTTCTTTAGACATTTTCATACCTAAAATAATAAACATTATCATTTTGACACACTGTTTTGGCAGGATAAATATTTGGACATTTTAGAGGCTATAAATGAGGTGCCAGACTTACTAAAGCTGTAGCTGGCTGTAGCTTGCCGCTGAGGAACATTTGAACCTAGAATTAAAATTATGATTCTCAAACAAATCAGAATCCATAAACTAATAATGAACCTTGCTTTATAGCTTTTAAAAGTAATCCTGTGTTATCTGGACATTTTAAACCTAATTCTGATGTTGGGGTTAATCATACAAAGCGATGCCTTCTTCGAGATCTTGAAACGGGAAGAGCAAACTAGCAGCAGTCAATTGCATAATTTATTCTATTTATTTGTTTTGGCTGAAGTACAATTCCATCCTAATTAGGCTATAAGTTGGTAGGAATACCAACAGTCTTTCCCATGATGTCTGGGGTAAATTTAAGTGTTTTAGCAGGAGAGACGACTTACCCTCCTTTGATGTAATCTAGAAACGTATGTTCTGATTCAGTGGCAAATGACAGCAATGTTACCTTGAAAAGGAAGAAACAGGTTGTATGTCACATAAGGACCAATGAAATAATTGTTACTGGGGCAGGAGCAACTGATGCTAATTATGTGTCATGTCCAAGGCCATCCCATCTTTACTCTACTCCCAGTCCAATAGATTACCGCAACTCTGTTTTTTAAGATTATCAGATTTGGCTTGCAAAAATCCAGAAAAAACATTTATTTCTTTACTGAAGATTTGAACTTAGATTCACAAGAACAGTTACAACAGTAGCCTAATAAAGTCTCACTCTGGTGGAGAATCTCTCACCATTTTTTTGGGGGGGGGTGGGGATCTAAAGGACAAACCTGAAAAAGGGACAAGCCTGAAAGACATACACAAGGAAAAAAACAATTGATTATAACTTCGTTTTACAAAGGAAATTTCAAGAACTTTTCTGCTTTTAAAAAATACATTTTCTGATAAAAACATCTAAAGCCAAACAGTATATGTAAATTTGTTTTAAAAAGACAATTCAAATTTCATATTTTTCACACAAATGTGAAAAACTGTGTATGAAATGGTATTATTTCTATAGTAAAACTTAAATGATCAAAATAAAGGTCAAAAGTGACTTTTTGGAAAATAAAAAGACAACTCTTTAAAAAAAAGGGTGCCCTTTATAATAAGGGCCACATGGTCACTGTAATTAACAGTGGTTACCAGTATTTCAAACAAGAATCTCCCTGGTCCACAGGTTCATACTGGGAACTAAAGCTCAGCCTTTCTGTATGGGATCTACTACTCGGCCCTTCCTTATAAGTCTAACAATTTAATGATTTTCTCCTAGGGACAAGGAAACATAATATATCATGCCAGAGGCATCAGCCAGATTTAACAATTACCAGGAAAATAATCTGAATTTATCTGGCAAATGTATCAATCAGCCCAAATGTCTACGTTTTTCTTTGCATGTAGAAATTAACATTAATTCAAAACACTTTCTACATTTTGACTCTGTTGAAATATTTATCAGCTCTCTCTGCCTTTGATTCAAATCAGATTGCACTATTTTCTACTATTTTAATTGTGGAATCCACATGTTTTTACTGGCCATTCCTCCGGCTGGTATTTAAATAATACAACTGCTTGGGCAAATACTAATAGTCGTGCATTATTTGCTGTTTACATCAACACATGTAATTTTCCGCCTATTTCCTATTGTTGAGGCTCAGATAAAAAAGAAATCCCAACTTCAAAATTTCTCAGATGGCACGTTGGGGAAATATTTTAATATATCAAGTACATTTATAATAATGTTACTCACTGTTCCTGAATTAGAGTATTTCTTTTTCTTCATTTTCTTTTTGGGATTTACCACCTGAGAGAAAGAAGAAAAAGGATAGTAATATAAATATCTCTGTGAGACATTTGGTCTGGCTGAGCCTGTAATGTACACCAAAAGCAGTAGATGCACTCCTGGTATATACTTATATGAATCCCATCTCTATACATGACACTTTGTAGAGGGATATTGCAAAACAAAATAAAAGATGTGATGCTGCCCCAAGGAATTTAAACATTCTATTTAAACAAAAAGGAAGTCTAAGGCTGAAGAGGCAAGTGGGGAAAGAAGGCTCAGAGAACAAAATGTGGATATGCTGTAAACAACTTCATTTGCAAATAATCTGGCGTCTGCTTTAGTTATATGTGTTAGGGTTTTATTTCAGCAATGCAGAGAGCAGGGACTTAAGCTAAAACCACAAACAAACATTTTTGAGAAGGGCTATGAAGAATTCTGCTTTTTTTGTTCCTTACAACTATCCCACAAGATGCTCATTATTATTCATCACGTACCACATAGAATGAAAACTGAAACATAAGTTAAAACTTCTACAGGCAAGGAGATGGTGAAGCTGAGCTCCAAAACAGATCAACACATCTGTTACACTCAACAGATCTTTCTAAAAAAGGCAAATGGTCTACCTTAATCCAGGCTGATCTTAATTAGTATACACTTCTTTTTGATGATACACACAAAAATAAGATTTTCTTTTAATACAGCACCAAAACCAACTTATACTGTTCTTGCCCTGTGAAGCAGATATCTTTTAAAGGATTGGGGTGTGTGCGTGCTGTATTAAAGTGGAGGTATTTTACTGTAATACCAACTTGTTTCTCATTTTAAACAAAAGCTTCTTTGTATAAATAAAATAAATAATAAAGAATGGTAGCAGGCATAATTCCGAGCATGCCAAATATGAAACATGAAATAAATCAGTCGTAATATTGTAGGTATATGTGTTATTTCACTGCATTATAATGAACTTGGCAACTATGACTATCCAGTCCTTTATCACACTCACACCAACTATATTTTCTCAATGTTTTTATTTCATGACCGAATTGATAAGATTTTAGTCTTATCAAACATCCATATCTGACAATGCACTCTGCATCAAGACTGCTATCATATGCTGCAGTATTCTGACACCCTTTCCTCCATCATAGGCTGCCAGAGATCAAGTTACATGTGTGCCACACTGCCTTACAAAAATATTAGTGCAGAATTAAAATTCTTCTTCTTCTATGTTTGTCTACTTTTTTGTCTTAACCAAAGGCATATTTACAGAGCAGGTGTCCTGCTAATTTTTAGCCCACACCTATTAAATTTTAGCAGCTAGTAATGCAGCTGCACAAGGCTTTCAGTAGTTGGGAATGAGATTAAAGTATCCTGCTTATCCTCTTCTCAAAGCCAGAATAAGTTCTTCAATGCAGTAAAAAGTAAAGAAAAAAAAAGAGAGAAGTGTATAATTTATTCATATTAGAAAATTCAGATTTCCTTGCTAAAAGATTTGGGCTATTCTGGAGCAAAAGTTTCATTTTTAGCATGACATACAAACCAGACTGCTACCATCTCAGCAAATATGGCACTATTCTGGAGGCCATGGCGTCCTTCTACTTCAACAGATCATCAAGCTATTGGAATTACTAGATGCTTCGATGAAAGACAAAACTGGGCGTTTCCTTATGTTTCAAATCAGAAATGTCTCCTGGGATATAATCCATGCAAATGCAATTATGGAATAGAACATTATTTTAAAGAAAATAAACTGAAAATGCAAAGTAAGTATACAGTGTAATCTAGTACTGTAAATGACCATAGGAAGTGTACAAATCTGACTTCTTTCAAATAGATTATTGAAGTATGATGGCTCTAAATTTAAAAGAAAATATTTCAGAATGAAGCTCTAATTCCAATGATCAAATTCGAAATTAACCATTCTGAGATATTTTTTCTACTTACTGTGCAGTACTTCAATAAATGAGAATAGACATGAAGTTGGAAACATAAATGTAAGATAAATCCAGTTCTGAAGGATCTTTAGAAAGAAATTTGAAAATAAAGTTGTCACCTTATTTTTTTATACCAATTTATGACATAACTGTACTTGAAATGTATATGTATTAGACAATTCACTGCATATTTGGCCTGTGCCAATCATTTGAAAGGAGTGATTTTGCAAGCCACTTTGGTGCCAGAAAAATATCCCTCTTCAAAGCATTAAAAGGGATTCAAGCTTTAAAAGGTTTACGTGGCTACTTTGATAGATATATCCAGGTGCAGTGACTCCACTTCACTGAAAATCCCAGTAGGTCACAGTCTGCATACAAATGCATGCAGACAGACAAACTGGGAAAAGACCTGAAGCTTTTACACAAAACTTTAAAGTATTGTGACTTTTCCAAAACTTTGGCGAAGAATGCTTTATACATATCTATTTTTTTGAAGTGCTCATTTCCAAAGATTTACACAGGCCTATTGGACATCAAAAAAGGTATAGGAGATTGGTGGGAGAGCCAAGGCTAATCAATGGAAGTACTCTTCATAATGCATAGCCTCTCTTTAGAATTCACTAATCCATATACAACAGTGGCGGGGTAATTTTAAATGGGGATAGAGAAAAGAATGGGAGTATTGTGAATGGGCAGGCTAAAATATAGGTGACTAGCATCATGTCAGATAGTTAATCCACATCCACAAGTGAGATATGATTCTTGGCCACATTCAAAATTAGACGGAGTTCCTCTCTCTTCTAAAGACAAAAGGGATTTTTTTCTGAGCACAGTGAATAGTTGAACAAGGGAGAAGGGACTACAAAGATTGAGAGTTCATTACAAACAAAGCAATCTTTCTAAAAATAAGAATTTAAAATTGGATGTGTCTCATATGGGTTCGATTACAACAACAAAAGGCTACACATGAGGGAAAGTTGGATCACTGCAGAATAAGTAAACATGTAAACTTCTCAAAGCTCTTGCTAAATTTTAACAACCAGTAATCTCAGCCAGCATAGCCAGTGGTGAGGGATAGAAGGACTTACAGTTAAGCAATACTTGGAGACTCACAAGTTCTCCTATTAATGGCTTAAGAATAATTTTACATACAGGTTCCTTCATTCCTTTGAAAGGGACTAAAACAAAGATTTGTTTTTTATGGCCCATTGTCTTTCTTTTCATTATTATGAAAAACAGAAATGTATATTGCTTCTCCTATTTCATGGCATTCTGTTCTCTAGAAGAGCAGAGTTTATAAATTATATAAACTATGCAGATTTCTCAACTCTATTTTCTTCTCATCTCCTCCCCATTTTTCCCTTACTGAGGAGAGAAACTAAGTTCTTTGAGAGGAGCAGCTGGGATCTCCCTATGCCTAGTCAGGCCAGTCATATGAGAAATTGCCCTGGAACTGTCACATTAGATACTATTATAGCAGAACTACCGAGCATAAGATATTAACATGCAAAAAATGATTGGTAATAACAAGAACCCCAGGGTCTGAAGTAACTGGCCACATATGTGGGGCAACTGGGCATGCACACTGCTGCAACTCTGTTCTTTAGCTTCAGGTGGGCTTTGTCATCTGTTGGTGAAGACAGATCTTCAACTTAAGAAGGCAGGCATATTACAATTAGAACTAGTGACAGGCCACAAACTTTCTTGATTGAGAGCACCATGCCAAGATGTGATTTTTAAATCATGTTTTATTTAAAAGAATAATGGATTGAATTTACATTTAATATTAAATTGTTCATCATTGTTTAAAAGGTACTATGGCAGGATTCAATTAACAATGGTTTACCTCACCATACGTAGAGAGCATGGAAGATGACCCTGGCAGAGATACTGAAACAACTATTACCTAGGTAAAAGGGGCTGAGGCATTTTTAAGTCTAGAACATCCAGATAGCATTCAGAAGCTGCTCAGACAGATACTATACCTCTTGAATTCACTGAATTGTAAGAAGGAGGATGAAGCACAGCGCACTTATGTTTGTGAGAGTCTGTTATAGCAATCACCTTCAATAAAAGCAGTTTCTGTCATCTTACAGAATTGATTTCATGGTCTGGTCTGCTTAAGAGGGGCTGGTATTATGCATTTAGTATTTTTAGTATTTATTTGATTTGTCAATCACTTACAAGATACAGGTATCAGAAAAAACATAGTTTTGAATACATGAGATAGATACTTTTAAGAAAAATAAAAAGAAACAATAGGACTGGGACAGTAGGCATGATTGGTGCGCTTATGCAGGCCTCTTAGGAAGGTGGTGAGGTCAATAGTAGACAGTCTAAGGTTAAAGTTTTTGGGGTTTGGGAAAGAAACCACAGAGTCAGGTAGAGTATTCCAAACATTGACCACTCTGTTGCTGAAGTTGTATTTTCTACAGTCAAGTTTAGTGCAGTTAACGTTGAGTTTGTATCTATTGTGTGCTCTTGTATTGTTATGACTGAAGCTGAAGTATTCATTTGCCGGTAGGACATTGCAACGTATGATTTTATATACTATATTTAGATCGGACCGGAGGCGGCGTAGTTCTAGGTTTTCTAGGTCTGAACTCAGTCAAATCTAGTTCCAGTCTCTTGGCACTTATTCAGTGCTATTTAAACCTCAATATTAACATTACATATTAGTAGTCTCAAGAGGTATGTAGATATGCATGAGCATCTGTGCATATCATGAAGCTATCACACAAATTATACCAATTATATAACATCATCAGAGCTTTTACCAAATGCTGTACAGATAAGGGAAATATATATTCTTCAGCTTGGAAACTGTGAAAAGCTTTTTCCATGGACTCCTATGATGACCTATACATTATCTCTGAGGATCCAGATTATTGGGGGCAATATGCTGACTCTGTAAACTGCTTAGAGAGGGCTGTAAAGCACTGTGAAGTGGTATATAAGTCTAAGTGCTATTGCTATCTCATAAGAAAAATAACTTTTGTACATGACATGGAATCGAAGAGAGAATTATACATAGTTTTCACAATGGAACAAATGGTTACCTCCCTCCTTCTCTCCCACATACCCTCCCCTCATGTTTTGCATTTTATTTATCAATGATTTGAGGTCAGGAAACCAGCGCTAAGGATGCCAAGTTTGTACAGGACACTAAATTATTCAAGGTGGTGAAAATACAATTTGATAAATGTCAAAGCAACCTCTTCAAAATGGATTAGGAAAACAAGAGTTTTTTGCCACATTTACAGGTGGCCTAAGCTCTAGTGATTCCACAGGAAAGAGATATTTTGGTTGTGGTGGATAGGTTTAAAAAAAGTCCACATCATCTCAGCATGCAGTCGCAGAAATGAAAAAGGCAAACGCTGGGTTTGGGAAGATCAGGAAATAGGTTAAAAATAGAACAGCCAATGTTATAATGCTTTTATATAACTCAGTATTGAGAGTGCAACTGAACTGTTGCATAAAATTCAGGTAGTCCCATTCCAATGTTCAGGCTGAAAAGTCTGAAAATTTTTAGGTCAGAAGAAGAATTGTAATTGGGGAAACATCACTGAGACTTTACAATATCTGACAAAAAATGTATAAAAGTCATAAAAAGTGGAAAGAATCCATGATAATTTCTTGAGCTCCTGACAAATTGGGACAAAAGATTAGCAAATGCTATATCTATATCTATATCTATATCTATATCTCTATATCTATATCTATATCTCTATATCTATATCTATATCTATATCTACCTACCTACCTACCCACCTACCTATCTATCTATCTATCAAGGCATAGAGTTAATGTTTTTCAAATGGCTTTCCCTAAAGGAGAAATAGGGCAGAAAGCCTGGTAATCATATAGTTGGATAATAGCCAAGCTACTGATTCATTCTAATTATGATACTGCACATAATCCGGCTGAAATTCCTTCTCTCCACTCTCATACTGACAATCCCTTATTTATGTTTTTATTGAGATCTGAAATTAGCACAGTACTGTGGTTGCCAATGCCCTATCAATGGTTTTGTACTACAACTGGGCATATTAAACCAGATCTACACCATGACCTGCTTAGCTCTAGAGCAGATACACCTCTTGGTCTTTTAGTAGCGGAAGGGCTTTAGTGTAAAGTCATGTTCAAAAGTTATTGTTCATTTTTAGTCTAACAGACTGTAATCTAAAATGACAGGTATATACTTCAGAGAATACTCTCTATTTGAACACCTGATCGTAAATATCTTTTTTGCTCCTACTTGGAGGACTGTGAAAGCTCCTAATGTAATATATAGAAGCAATGGTCTAAAACTGGTCTAAATAGAAGATTTGGGAGAATTTGAAGGGTTTGTTTCTCCCAACTGAAAAATGGAAAAAATATTGCTTCTATAAATACAAGGAATGCGACACGTATGTATACAGTATTTTTAGGAGCCAAGTGCAATTTATAGGGTAGAAAATTTCTTTGTTTTAAGCCAACAATTCTGGAGGCACCAAATTTATAAAAACTGGTTAATGTACCAGATGAACATTTCATGCTTAGAGCCTCAATATTTCAGGAATAGTAGATGGTTTTTGAAAAATTTATATTTATAATTTTTTTCCTAGCAGAGGAAAAAATTACATTGATACATGATGCATTGAAAAGGAAATGATGGCTGTGGTCTTAAAATAGACTGATTGTGAGAGGTAAGACAGTATTTCTACCTGTGTTGGGATTATTCAGCAAGAGATAAGGTTATTTATCAAAATTTAGTTATTTTGATGAGAAAGTTGTCATAAGTACAAAAATGTGGTTCAAGGAGAGTATGTAACTATTGGGAATGGGATGGAAGAGAATAGAATAGAATAATTTTTTATTGACCAAGAGTGATTGGACAGACAAGGAATTTGTCTCTGGTGCATAAGCTCACAGTGTTCATATAAACAGCAAGTAATAGGTCATAGATCATAAATCATAGTTACAATCATTAATTGTAAGTTACAAATGCAATCGATAAATTGTAAGAAACCAGTAGGAGAAGATAGTAGGAGAAGATGAAGAGATGAGAAAAGATTAAAAATGAGACAGTGCTGTGGGAATTTAGTGTTCAGCAGAGTGATGACACATGGTTAAAAACATGATTTTAATCAAAGCACACAGAATGCAGGGGTCTTAATAGAAAGGACCATATGGGTCATAAAATTGGGCTGTTTGCTCAAGGCAAGAATTTGTTAAAACATTTCAACCATTTTTTTTTCAGTCATCCATCAATATAAATTAACTTTGGATGCTAATATTAATGGGCATCTCAAGAAGCTACTCACCTCATAGACATTAAACTGGCTTTGTCCTCGTGCCAGTTCTCTATAGCTGGTTGTAAACTCTCCAATGAAATCATGACTGTTAATAGAAAATAAAATTGTGAGAGATGATATACAACAAAGATTCCTATTTCTTTATATCTTGATGGTCCAAGATGAGGAATAATAAAATGTCATAGCCAATCAGTGGTAATTCTGCCTATTCCTCACTTCCTTAATTTGTATATTTTTGGTCCAGCTACCAATATATGGAGTTTCTTTTCTTTTTTTATTAATTATTTGCATTGATTTTTCTTTTTTTACATGTCTCAATCAATAATAAACAGTACTGTGACACATCTTATACAACTACATTACATATCATTATTGTCTATATGTTCTATTTCTATACTTTTTACAACTATATAATACATTTCTTTTTCTTATTTCTTTCCCTAATCTAGTCATACCATTTTCCCCACATTGCATAGAATTCAGAATCTTCTTTTCCTTTTAATTCTATAGTCATCCTGCACATTTCCGCACACTTGAGAATTTTTTTGATTACTAGGCCTTCAGATGGTATGTGTTCTTTCTTCCAGCATTGCGCAAAGGCTATTCTGGATGCTGTTGTTATATGTAGCATCAAATATTTTATTCTTTTATTATATTTACCTATAATTACCCCTAGGAGAAATAGTTCGGGGGTAAATTCTATCTGATTTCCAATTAAATCCTGTATCCATTTTTGTATTTTCTTCCAATATTTTTTCACTTCGGCGCATAACCACCATGTGTGATAGAAGGTACCTTGTTTTTGTCCACATTTCTAGCATTTTGGATCTAGGTTAGGGTAAATCTTAGCCAATCTCGAGGGCACCAAGTGCCAGCAGTAAAACATTTTATATTGATTTTCTTTATAGGCTGCCGATTTTGTTATCTTATGATTTATGTTCCATATTTTTTTCCCATTCCTCTAACTCAATATTATGTCCCAAAGTCTACTTTTCATTCTTCTGTCATTTACTTAGGCAACAGACTATTTATTAAATAAAGTGATTCATAAGGCAAAGCCAGCCTTTCCAAATCTAGGGGCTGTAGTTTAGTTTACTTTATTGTCATTGCACCTTGTACAACGAAATCAAACACCATCTTCAGTGCACATCATGACCATGACCATGAAAATAAACACAAACACACATCCTTCACCCTTCACACATTGAACTGGAAACCCCCAACACCACACCAACACGGCACTATACAGCAGAATTCAAACCAGCTACTGCCCTGGGATAGAAGCTGTTTTTCAGCCTATTTGTCCTTGTTTTTATTATTCTGTACCATCTGACAGAAGGTAATAGTTCAAAAAAAAAAAGGTTCCCAGGATGAGATGGATCTTTGAGAATGTTTTTAACTTTCTTAAGACAGTGGGAGCTATAAAGCTCTTCCAAAGAGGGGAGAGGGTAACCAATGATCTTCTGATATTAACCCTCTGGAGTGCTTTCCTATCTGCCATTGTGCAATTGACAAACAATACAGGTGTGCAGTATGTTAAAATGCTCTCAATGGTGCAGTGGTAGAAGGTCACCAGCAGTTTTTCATTCAGTTGTTGTTTTCTGAGAAGTCTCAGGTAGTATAATCTCTGCTGGGCCCTTTTGACCAGGGCTGCAATGTGGGCACCCCAGGTCAGGTCCTCTTTTAGGGTAACACCCAGAAACTTAAAACTGGCCACTTGCTCCACTCGGACTCCATTGATAAGCAAGGGCTGGATATCTGATCTGTTCCTTCTATAATCCACTATAATTTCTTCCTAATGATTTCCTAATAATATATGTAGAGATGTGTTTGGATTTATAATTCTCATCATTCTCAACATCACAGTTGGAATTCTGGTGATTATAGTCTCAATACATATGAAGACTGGGATAGCAAGTCTTTTCTCCTTTGTGCGGAACAAAAGGACTTTTTACCTCAAGCTCCATAAATTCAAGTATGCTACACGCTCTTGTTGCATTTTCTTTTCATTTAATTTTTATCAGTGTAGTTTTTTAATGACTAAATCCAAGGAACTAAATGCTACTTACCTACCATCTCGATCCCAGTCATATACCTCTACTTTTATGGTTCTGCAAAAGAGGACATTGATGATCAAGTTGCAATTCTTATTACAGTTTTCTTCTGAGAAAACCACTGACATGAAAAAGTGTCAAGCTGTGCATTAGAGATAACATTCTTTCTTTTAAGAAAGCTGAGCAAGTAACCCAGGTAGGATTTAGGGAATATTAAGATTACTCCAGCTACCCTACATAGGACAAAATCTCCCAAGTAGGCCTATAACTGTCCTTCTAGCCTTTTCTGGATAAGCATCTTGGAACTGACGTATTAAATAAGCATATGTTTACATCAAAGTCATGTAGAAAAAAAGGAATTGCCAGGAGATAAACAACAGCCTATGTTTATTCTGACTGAACACAGACCATCATATGGTTAGGCAAGGAGTTCAGTAGCCATTTAATAGATTGTAAAGATTTTTTTAAAAGGTAAGTCTTTTTGGCTTCCTTTGAACCATTCTACTTGGCCAATTAAAGTATCTCCTTTATCCAGAGAGTCGGGATGCCCAGGATGACACACAGTTCTGTTGGAAAAATGGCTGCCCAGAATGTGCTTGAAGGCAGTCATTAAAAGCTTAATTTAGACAAAGCAGATAATTTCTTCCTTTTTTTCTTTCTGGGTGGTGGAGTTAGTTTTGTTAATGAGGGAGTTTATTGCATTCTTCCATAGAATTCTCCCCCACGTGAAATTAAACACATAGTTTAGGAGTTCTCTTGGTAGTTATGGTAATTAATGTTCAGATAACAGCTGTGGCCAAAAGGTTTCCGATGTGGAATGCAACAAAGTAGGTATATTACTCCCATTTCAAAAGAGGAAATGAAGAAGCACTGTTAGCAATATGCATCTAGGCAGAAATCAAAATAATTTTCTTTTAAACCCAGGCTCTATCCAGTCTGTGCCCTAGTGTCTTTGGACCACTTTCCTGCCAATACATAAAATTGAAAGTTATTTTTATGTGTTCCAAGATGAATAGGTGTAGAATTAATCAGCACACGTGATTTGGCATCCCAAAATACTCCAAGGAAGCATTTCCTCTCTCTGAAGGTCTGATTTCCTGTCTTTTTTAGCTTTTTCTGGCAAGTGAAGACAACTTCAGACAGAATTTTGAACAGCTCTGGTATTTCACACTGCATCCTAATTCTCAACTTTTAGTTACATGTGATTTTTTGTATCTCTTATCAGCTCTTATTTTGTTTTCCTGTGTTTTTGTAATGTTTTAGTTGCTTATATGTTTCTCTGTGAAGTTGAAAGATGAGATACACATTATTCTAATAAATGCATATAATCTGTGGTTTGTCTTTAAGTATGAGGAAGAAAGGAGGTTGCCACACATGTATTTCACCTACAGGTATTTTGCCTGGGTTACATTGGAAAAATGTGAACCATTTAAATGTTGATAAATGGACAGTCTTCTGAGACAAAACTTACCAATGTCTGATAGGTATTATTTAACCCCAACAGTTTAATATATGCCTTACAAGGACGCCAGAGGTATTTGTTGTTCTCAAGTAGACAGTCGGGACATTGGCACTTTTACCCTTAACTCCAATGCAATTTTCAATGTCAGGCACCGATTATTCTCAGTAAATACTCCAGGCTAGTGGCTTCTTAAACTCTTGTTAGCAAAATGACAGTGATTAAATTGCCTGTGGCGATATGTATGCTGACATGTGACATTTGAATTCTCAGAGGCACAGGAATGAGTGGAGTGTCAGACCAGACTTGAGTTCCATTTGGAGCTAATTTGCAGAGACTCTGCCACATCTCCTCACCCACTTCTGTGACTTGAGAATTGCTTTCTCAATATTTTCAGTGCTTCTTGAAGTCAACCAAACTTCCAAACTATTGCACATACCAGCAATTTATAGAAAAGGCTCATGTTATAAAAGCAAAGCAAAACAGAAAAATGGCAAACAATCCCAATATTTCAACAAGATTATCAGGGATGGGCAACAATGAAAAAAATCATTCTTGTAGAAGATAAAACTTTAATGAGTATTCACTGAAATCATTAAACACAACTGAGGTGTTTATCACAACTATCAATCATAGGACTAGATCTCACACACAAATGCCCTGAAAATGGCAAGTCACACTCTGGTGGAAACTCACATTCAAGAAGAGTGTCCTTTTAGAGCAGGGGTGTCCAACCTTGGCAACTTTAAGACTTGTGGACTTCAACCAGAATTCCTCAGCCAGCAAAGCCAGCAAAGCTGGCTGAGGAATTCTGGGAGTTGAAGTCCACAAGTCTTAAAGTTGCCAAGGTTGGACACCCCTGTTTTAGAGCATTAAGTGCCCAGTGACTGATTCCAAGGTTTTTCATTCAATTACTGCATTCTACAAAATGTGCTCAAAGTGACTGATAGCTTGCGTTTTACTCCCTTCCCAAAAACGGAGAATAATCCTTTTAAAAAAAACAACAACACACAAGCTTGAGGTGATTTTGTTGGTAAACAGCAATTCAGAGAGATCAAGTAAAGAATTTGCTGAACTCCACTAAAGGCTGTTTTCTAAGCAGCCAAAATGGGGTTGGCAATCTTTTCTTGGGTTGCTTAGTAAATGTGTACTTTTGAGTGTGGAAATTTGGGTAGATTTTAAAGAGAACAATTTACTGTGAATAATGTAGAATGCAGATCTGAACTATGTTCAGTACATTTGATAGTGGACAGAAAAAAAAATCTTCAGAAAATCAGTAATTCAGGTCTACCTGTGTTTATATTTCATTTTCTTGATTATAGTTTGCTGGCAAATTTCACAATCAGATCTTAAGACAAAGCAAACTCATTTATACTCATTTCCCCCTCAATTTCTTGATTGAAAACCTGCCATTTGATTTTTACTGCTAGCATAAACAGTATGTACCATTCCCTTAGTAGCAGTCTACGAGTAAAATACTGGAAAACCAAGTGTCATTGGCAAATACAAAACTCTGACTGCCCCAAAACCTGAAATAAATGCAATCCAAGGATATAGATTTTTGAGGGAAAAATAATATGACAAGTACCTGGGAATTGGGCAGCATATATATTTAATAAACTATAATGAGGATGGAACATGTCTTGTGTGCATATGAGTAAGGCAATTGTCACATGGATGGGACATAAAAGCCATCCAGGTTTCACTTAGATCCAAGCTTTTTGTACAGGATCTCAAGATGATTTGCATTGCTCTTGGTCCTACTTTCCTCACGCTAGTTTATGAAGTAGGTTGGGTTGAGAATAATTTTCAAGGAGCTTTCGTGGCTAAGGGGGAACTATAATTTAAATCTCCCAGCTCCTGGTTGAGTATCTTAACCACTACGAAGTATTCACTGGTTCTCTGGATCTGCCTCTAAAAACTCTTCAATTTCTTTCTTCCAGTTTTATATTTACGGGTGGTCCTTGAAGTCCTTGAATGATGATGATGGGAAAAGTGGCTTATAACCAGTCCTTGCACATATAACTGTTGCAGCATCCTTGCAGTCACATAACTATTATCCAGATACTTGGCCTCTGGCTTGTTCTTAGAAACAACAGCTTTCAGCTTCCTACAGACAGTCATGTGACTGTCATTTGTGACTTTCCCAGTTGGCTTCCAACAAGCACAATCAAAGGGGAAGCTGGCAAGAGACTGAGAGTTGTAGATGTATGGGGTGTTGCTTAACAAGCAGGTGATTCACTTACAGCAAAAAGTTCATAAAATTGGGTGCAGTCACATTATGTCCCACTTAATGACTGAACCACAATGAATTTTCTGGCTCTTATTGTGACTGTAAGTCAAGGACTACCTACATTAATAATCAAATCAACCCATCCCCCACCCAGATTTCATGCATTTTTTTCTCTTTGCAGATTGGGTTTTCTCCCCCAACCAATACGTCTTTTAGGGCTGGTAATGGTTAAAGAATGGTTAAAGAATGGAAAGTAAATGAGAATAAAAGGCTTTCAATTAGATAAGTATACAAAAGAGGGTCTAACTGCATTAAGACTGCAGCTTTATTTTATTTCAAATGTTGATAAGTTGGCAAGATTTTCAATGATCTCAATTTACTCAGGCTGGTAATACTAAAAAAGGATTAGAGCGAGCTTTCAAAAAATCCCTCACCTCCAGTGAATAGGGCTTAAGCTGAAAATCCAGTTTAATGTAAACAAGTGCAAAGCAATGGCATCCTGTTGCAACACTTCTTGCCCTCAGATTTCATACATACAGAAGTGGGGGCTGAGTTGGCAGTAACTGATCAGAAAAGATCAAGAAAGGGAATTTAGTATCAACAGTTCCATGAAAATGTCAACCCACATTAATCCTTTAAATCATTAGGAAGAAAGCAGAAAATAAGACTGCCAATATAATCATCAAGTGCTTGCAAAAAGCCTTGGGCTGAGACAGCACTCAAAATAAGTGTCCAGTTCTGTTCATTGCCCCTCAAAAATGATGTTGTGAATCTGGAAAAAAATATAAGAAAAGCAACCAATATTATAAAGAACCTAAGGAGCAATTATTGGAACTGCTAACAAGCACAATGAAGAAAACCTCAAACATGGGAAATAGCATATATAATTTTGATTTTACACAGAAGGGAATAATCTGGAAAAAACAGTCATAAAGATATTTGGATTGAACCAGACTAATTTTTCTAACAATATTAGACATGGGAAATATGGCGATGTATATACCATTTTATACTATGCGGAAAATGTGATTGTTTCTCTAACAATATTAGATCCTAAAGTGATCCAATTAATGTTACCACTGGAGGAATTCAAGACTTTCCTCAATAAAAGGAAGTAATAATTTACCCAACAAATAGTTTTCTGTTATCAGATATGCCTACTGGCATTGAATTAACTGGCTTTCAAAGGAGAGAAAACAATTCATGGAGGTTTGGGCAATGAATAGCTACATGTTAATGCATCCACAGATTGTTTCTTTGAACAACAGGGAATATTCTTTTAGTATAGTATCAGCTAAGGAATAATAATGGAAGAGGGCATCATTCCCATATTTTGATTGTGAGATTTTAGGATAATCCTTTGGT